GTGTAGTGTGTAGGTCCGGTATGGACTATAAAAGCCCTGTAGCTTCGCACTCCCACCGTCGGTTACAGCCGATTACTCGCTTGGCGCAGCACCTAGGGTAAGTACAGGTGTGTGAGCACGTTTTAAACCTTTTTTCCTTGAGGACCGAATTTTTTTTATTTTGTAGTTTGCCTTCAAATTCATACAATTCGACTTAGATAAGCTTAATTTCGAGCTTAGGGAAAATTGAACAAGTTCAGATTATTTGCAACCTGTGTAGTATCGTAAATCCTGACAGTTATAACCTCTCCTAAAAAACTCCAAGCATCTTTTTAAAGCTATATTCATTTAAATAAATTTTTATTTTTCTTCCAGCAGAACACAACATGTGTATCGCGGTTAAATCTTTGCTCAAGTTCGTCATCTCCACAATCAATGTGGTTTTGGGGGTACGATTTACTTCTTACCTTTTATATATACTGAATAAAAAGTATGTCAATCCCTTATTTCATTAAAATGTTATTTTGAATGTCTGTAAAAGGCAAAATCTCACACGTCGTTTTATTTCCACAAACAGATTGGGTTCCTTATCGTAGCACTACTTGGTCTTCTTCTGAAAACGTCTCAAGGCTTCGTCAGATCAATCCTTAACAAAGCATTCAGTTTCGGCGCTCAAATTGACAATGAGGATGCCGAATATCTGACAAACTTCGTCCTTGACAATGCAAGTAAGTTTACACAACTGTCTGAAAGCAATGAGAGTGCAAAACAAAGTGGTAATATTTTTTGCGATTGAAAAAACACAGCTTTATTACAAAAGGCATTTTTGCAATTGAATTCTAGCCGGCGTCTCTGTTATACTAATCGTTGTTGGTTTGGCCCTGGCCGCCCTCTGCTTCGTCGGTGCCTTTGCTTCCTGTTGCGGTTGTGGACTTCTTCTTAAGATTGTAAGTTTTTTGAACAAGAGAATGTATTTTTCTCTAAGAACTATGTCATTCTCAGCAGCATTGACCTTTCTTTCAACAAATAGGACTGAACTGAAAATGCAACTGAATCTGCTGCTAATAACCGAATTCTACAGTATCGAAGAGCGTATCACATAATAATATTAGGCGTATTTTTAACATCGTGTATGCAGTATTACAACACGTAAAAACGCATGCACAATAAAATACATGCATAGACTATCGCAAACCCCGTTGATTTGAACCGATCATTCTTTATTTCAGTTTACTCCTCATGAGTAAGGTCTGAGCCACTAGTATTGGCCTAAAGGCTAGAGATGGTTACGAAAAGGAATCCCCGGAATATGATTTTTTCCCGATATGCTTCTGCATCCCAATTTGCTTGGTATGACTTTTTCGTAGAAGAAGAGAGTAAACACTGCTCCGTCTTTATTTCCAGTATGCGATTATTCTCGCCGTCCTGCTTGTTGCACAAATTGTCGCAGTGGCAGTCCTCTTCTCCGATCCCGTTAAGGTAAGTTCTCGACTTGCTAGTGCGTTAAGCAAAAGCTTGTTCGCCATTCCTCCGTGCTCTGAACTGATTAAAAATCATTTTAAAGTGGTTGTATTTAACATAATTTAGTATGAAAATCAATAAAATATTATTCAATTCCTGTAACATTTATATAATCTTTTATTTGTAGCTTACTCAATCCATTATTACGGCCATGAATGAACTCCTAAAGACGTTTGGCAAGACCAATGAAGTTGGACAAGCGTCAACTGCCATATGGACGTTGGCTATGACAGTAAGGATTTTAGCACTGACTGCTTAATTTTATTTGCTGCAGCGGTATTATTTGAAATAGCAAAATAATTACAGTCTTCCTGTAAACAAATCCGGGCAATGAAAAATTATATAGATCGCGTTCATAAAACTATCCCAAAATGTGATACGTCCTTCTTTTTTAGTATAACGGGACGTGCTGCGGCATGGACGGAGCTGAAGATTTCAAGACTATTTCGCAATTAAACGGTAGGCAATTTTTACAGAAATCCAATACGTATACGTTTCACTTCATTGTCAAGTTATTGACAAATCCTGCCCAGAAATTGGTCTAAAAATTATGCTATCTATCGTGGAGTTTTCCCAGCTGCTTGTCAGGTAGAGGATTTAACGGGAAAAACTATCAGTCAATCAAGGAATTCCTTACTATTAATCTACAATCAAAAGTCTTTTTAAAAGATGGGCGACATCAAGAGAGGGAGACGGTAACATTTTGTGTAAGTCTAAGAAAACCATCAGGAATATGAACGCATTCCATATTTAGGTCATAGTTTGGGGAAACCTGCAGCAAACTTCACTTTCTAACACCATCACAGTCTTAATGTAGCGGCCTCTGGAATACAATCCCTGATGTTTGAAAAAAGGATAGAATTAAAGTTACATTGCACAAATACTATGAAGCTTAAATCATACGAATAATTATAATGCGTCTGTGTAACAGTAGTAAAAATGTCACTCAAAGTTACTGTGAACGCACATAAAATGTTAAGACGTGCATATTCCTAGGCTTCCTTAGCAAAGAACAATCAACTATATTCGGGATTTAGCGGTCACAGTAACTACACCAAGATTTCAATTGTGACTACTTCTTCTTCGGTCGGTGTAAGTACTTATATCTACGGTCTTCGCATATAAGGGTTTGAGAATCGACAATAATGCCTTTTTTTGCCAAACGGAAAGCAGGATTCATAGATGAAATGGTGGCTCATGCAACAGTTAAGCTGATTGCACTGTTATTTAAAAAAGTGTTTGCCTGACCTCTTAAAAGAAGTGGTGTTTTGCGTGTAGATTTCGACCAACTGGTATGTTGCCCGTTACTTCTTGCCATTGGAAAAAGACAACTTATTTACGTTTTATAAGGCAAACGGGTGCCTACAGGAGTTTCATCGAGCGGCTTAATATACGTCCACAAATAAGTAGAAAACTGGTGTTGCATGCTTGCGAATCTTGGCAGAGCAAACTAAAAGTTACTCATGGTTGGACCAAATGCTCCCCTTCCAATCACAAATAATAGAAGGAGTTACTAAGAGCCAAATTAAAATGCGCTAATAAACCAAGGCACCATACATTGCATCGAGAAATTAGCAGCAGTATAAATTTTTAACCCTATCTAATAGTCTAGCAAGCCTATGATTTAAAATTCTGTCATATACGCTTATTATAAATTTGCCATATAGTGTGCAAGACTAAGTTTTTCAGCTTTATTTAAGGGCTTTTTTATTGATCAGTATCTGCTTTTTTTAAATATCCACTTCCAGTAAAATGTCCCATGTTCAAAAATGTATTGATTCAAATGTTTGCCCTATTAAGATGCTCCTGCACCCTGCTGCAAACATCCAGACCCAAACACAAAGACAGGATGTTCTATCGACGAAGCAATAAAGAAAGGTGTACCCGGCTGTCGTGAGCGCATTCAAAGCTTCACTTATGACAACCTCAAGATGATTATGTATGTCGCCATCGCGGCAATAGTCATACAGGCAAGTTTATTTTCTTCTCCTTTGTAAACCTTCATAATTTTAAAGCTTGCAAATGAGGTTTGGTACCTGCGAAAAGAGTGCGATCACTTGCAGTGACCTACTTGTGGTCAGAGTCATTCATATTCAGTAGATACATTGCCTTTGAGTTTGTAATACCCAGAATTTTACAATTGGGCATGCATCGTTAATTTTATTAGGAGACGAACTCCTATTTCCGGTGCTAATTGCTCTTTTCTACTTACAGGGTGCTCTAGTCATCATCGTCGGACTTGCCATCTGCTTGTAGAATACCGCTTTTCACAAGACTGATGTACTTTTTCTACTTTTCTTTACATGCGACGTCTCTCTTCTTGAAGTATCCAGGATAACCTCTTTTTTCTTTTCTTACCATCAAGAGCGCACTTACGATTGCAGTATACCCTTTTTAAATATATTGATTGATTATTAATAAATAAATCATTTTTAAGAGGTTTTATTGTACGTAACAATAGGGCGTTTGACAATTTAAAAAATGTTAAATGGGACTTTGTTTCAGAGTGCAATCGCAATGGCTTAAGTAACTAGATCAAATCTTTGACGCTGTGATCTTCTGGTCTGGTTCCGTGTGGGCTGAAATGACGTGTGACGTCAGAGGGAGGAATGGTACATTACGTAAACACGTAGTGGATAAGTCGACACTTTCACAGACGCCCCGGGAGGGCCCGCTTTTCTTTAGGTGAGGGAGTGAGAGTAATCGCCGGGTCTACAAGGTGAGTCAGCCACAGAAAGATGATTGGACAGACTAGATTGGGGTAGGAAGGCACTGGTGTTTGCGCACTTTCTAGCAGTTGCAGGTGGTGAAGCGTCGGTGCGGGCTACGACACCTGTGATTTGCCGTCCCAGAGGTGGACCGAGAAGTGCAATCGCGTGACATCATGCATGGCACTGGTGATTAAAGGTGCTACAGTAGCGAGACTTTCAGCGCAACTTTTTTGGTGACTGAGTACAAGTAAGACAGTAAATACTCAAATTCAAATTTAGAGTCATTGAAATCATTTAGTTTCGATTGTGCTGTATATGTTCAGAATTGGGCTTGAAGACTCGGGACAAGGTGTAGGAGACACGCCAAATATGGAGGAGGAGGAGGAGGAGAAGGAGGAGTTTAATGCATTTCATATTAGAGGAGGCTGGCGGCTGCAAGATTTTACGAGTTTTTAAACGTAATTGTGCCTCAAAACAGTTGTATTTATTGTTTAAAATATACCCTAAGGCATAAACAAATTCAATAGGTCCGTTTATGGTTCAAAACGGCGCCAAGGATGAATAAAAAAAGGATGATAAGTGGGATTTTTAGGTATAAGAAGAAGTATAGAAGAGGGAGGAGAACTAAATGTACAATGAGTCAGTTCACGTAAGACACTGAAGACACAAATTAAAATACAGATTCGTCCACATCATTTAATGTTTAGATCGATGATGCTATTTTTGTCCAGAAATGGGTTCACAGACTCACGCCACAGACGTGTTCGATAAGATATTGAAGAAATGGTTGAAAAGGATGGGATGAGAGAAGGTGGCGGTTCCGAACTTTTACGAATTTTGACATTGACTAGTGTCCAATAAACAGTAGAATTGCGTTTTCAAACTAATCAAAAGATGTCAAAAATAAACAAAACTAGGAGTACGAAAGGAGGGATTATCCTGATGTGGACACGGCGGCGGAGGCAGAGAAGAAGGCAAGGGAGTAGGAGGACGAAATAAAGTTTCAAGACAGTGCCAGTCGTTGGTAAGCATCTAAACCGGAAATTCGAACGAGAAGAGGGTGTTAAGTAATTAGTCTCCGTTTTTTAAGTGCTAATGTATTTTGTTTACCTTTTTGGTCGAACATTGATCACGTAGAATTGCAATGACCCCCAAACTGCATCTTTCACTATAATTTTTTTCTTGCATTTTCATCGAAAGACAGCAATGGCAGTTGCAATGTGCGCTATTTAAAGATAATGATTATCTGTGTATTAAACACTAAAGATCGAAGAGGTATTTGTTGCACCGGTAATATATGTGACAGTCAAAATGGAATGTTGTTTTCTTTTTAAAATTAACCATGGGAATATTTACGGAAAAGGGAA